TTAAAACCTTACCTAATAAATCAACCGATAAATAATTTTGATCGATACGATTGCCACAATCAAAATTTACAACTGTTTAAAACAGCAGATTTATATTCCCTAAAGAGTAAAAATGCTACTTTAGATCCTTAAAGCATGCATTAAATACCCCTGCCACAGCAAACCTGCAGACTAAGGGAATTTCCATTTGCTTGATTGGATTTACAATGAAATATCTCCTTACAAATATCAAATTATTCCCAAATAGCATTAGTTTAACTAGTACTTAGGTTTGCTGCAGCAGGGAGGGTAAAAAGTTTTTTTTTGTGTGAAATAATAATAGTTTAATAATAAATAAATGTTTTTTTTTCAAATTTGGTCAAAATATGTCCATAAACAGTCAAACTACAACAGTTTAGTTATTCACCATATGAATGGCAAAGGAATTTTAAAACTACAATTTTTTTTTTCCTCTGTAACTATTGGGCGCATGATAACCCATCAACATATTCAATTATTCGTTTTGTTTAGCTCTTCAAAATGTTTTTAAAAGAGATTGCAATCAAAAGTGAGAAAAACCCATTTTTACCTCATAAAACCCCCCATAAACCTCCGTTCTCATAGTCCGATCATGCTGGTTCGTGAACTCGTTCGAATAAATGTAGGTTTACACGTTTATACAAAATTTCATCAAAATCGGATAATTTTATGCTCAAGTTATCATGCTAACGGATACACACACTCACAAACGGACTGAGTTTTTGGCCTCTAGGGACCTCAAAACGAAAAAGTAAATCGGTCCCGGATAAGACACCAAAGTTGAGGCCTAGTGTTGTGTAACTGTGTAGCTGTAAGTCTCAGTCAGGTATCAGTGTTTGAGTTGGAGATGACATCATAGTCTACATGAGATCACCTGGCGGCACACAGACCCAAGGTCACTCTCAGTGCAATTTGTTACACACTGTTTTAACTATCAAGAACGTTCCACAACTCAATGAGTGCACTTAGATGGTGCTATATGAGGAGTCCTCTCGTTGGTCCTCTTAGTATAATTAAGTTTAAAACTTCAATGGACGTACTATGCCTTATTTATTTATTCCTACGGCAAGATCATCAATTTACAATGTGTATAAAATTTTACAATGTGTGATTTATATTTCATAATTTCATACCACAATCTTCTTACAGTAACTTTATGTAAAATTCTGCCTGGTTTTTTTTTTATTTAAAACAAAATGCCATTCAATCTAGTAGTAAGTAAGTAACAGGTTTTAAATTGAATGAACAAGAAACCCAATTGCAATAAAAGAAAGCTGGTCAACAATATTATTAGTTGTGATATTAATAGCAGAGGTATACAATTATATAGTGAGTCGGAGCCAGTAGGCAGTGCTGAGTCAGGGCTTAGAGCTAAGACTTGCTGACATATAGCTCAACCTATACAAGTGCACTACATCAGTAATCAGCCGCAATAACTGATTGAATTGTATCAACTAGTTCTGTTTAAACTGAAAATATATGTTTTGTATATTTTGGATACTAAATATAAAATAAAAATACTTAAGACCAGCAAAGTATTACCATTGACTATAGTCAAAGGTATTACACTATTTTCACCATGTGTGATATTTTTATTATTTTACCTAAAGGAAAAAGTAAACCAAATGTCTGTTTATAAAAAATGCTTATGGACTTGGATATTTCATAGGTTCTAGGATTTGTTGTACTATCAGTACTGTATTTAATCATTTACAATCATTTTAAAACAGATAAACTATTTTTAGTTTAATTTATATATGTGTTTTTTTTTTTTTTTACTGATAACTGATTTAAATGTTTAACCCATTGTGTTCATTATGCTCTATGAATTTCTGAAACCGTAAATGCATATTCAGTATGCCTGAAATATACATCTCTCTATTGCCTGGTAATGAAAAAATATGAAGCACTATTATAGTATGCCTAGGACATTTTGTAAAATTATATCTGTGTTACTCCCAATTTGGCTGTACAATCTAATACAGCAATGGAAAACACTCAAAACTGTTAACAATGAAATAATGTAATTGCAAGTGCTCCTGTTACTGACAGGTTGTAATACAATTTCTAATATTTTTTTATAATTAACTCATTTGGATGCTAAGCCTTTTGAGGTGGGTGGTGCAGTTGGTACACCAGGATGCACCATCGTGGCCTTCAATTGTTATCATTATAACTGCTTCCTGTCCACCATTCATTCTTGTTAATTGATACTGTGCTTGGTAGTTGACCACAATTTTAGATACAATAATGCAACAATAGTAAATTAAATCATTTAATTTTGTTGAGTTGCAAATTACTTAAGCCGAATAATGTTTGGTATTGATTGTAGTTTTGAAAGTAGGCAAGCTATTTTACCAAAGTGTAGCCAGCTTAGAAGAAATCATAACCAAAATTCATAATCACGTAAGAACAACAACCATTCCAGTTCATAATCTCAACCTCAATGAAATTTACTATCAATGGACAGTACCTTTGTCAATGTAGATACTTTAAACATAAGAACATGGACATTAATGTACTCTTGTATCTGTTGATTGCTGCTTGTTTTACTGGCATGTGACAGTCCAGTCTGACATCTTGGGTAAGCTAATATTGGTGTATTAACCTTCTCTGATAATGATATAAAGTTGTTCATGATTGGTGTCCGTCTCTTTTACTATGATTTGGTCTTTCTAAAGTCCATTTCACCCATGTACCATTTCACATTCATTGTGCAGTGCAGGTTTTATGAAAAACAGGCGTGCTATTGACATGACTGGAAAGATTGCGCTTATTGTCGTGCTGGATGTGTCAACAGACCTATTCTCGTGGATGTGCTAAATTCATTTGATTTATCTCTGTAACTTGATGAATTTTAAGATTCATATTTTGACTTGAGTAATTTTAGTACTAGAATATTTAGTTATAAAAACATAAAGTGCTAGAGCGTTTTGCGGATCCAGATGTTTTGAGGGTGGCTGATATAACTAAAACAGCTGTTTGTAATACATTGCCCTACAGCTTTGGCCCAAAAAAGATTGAAATCCCTGGGAAGACTGAAACTGGAACCTGAAGAGATGAGGAAATTGGGCGTCTCACATCTCCTAGGCTATGCTAAAAGCCTAGGACTGTCATACTGAGTTGAGGGGTTCTACAATAGGTCAAAGGCCAAAGTAGCTAGGGGTGGGATTATACAACCCCCCCCCCCACATACACACACACACACACACACACACACAAATACAAGACTCATGAACACAACATGACACACTGCACAGTGAACGTGGAATTAAGTATAGTATAATATTTTGTTACGCAAAGCTATACGTCTAGTAGTCGGGGAAATCGGGAAAGTCGGGAATTAGTATTGAATTTCAAAATGGTCTTGAAAAGTCGGGATTTAGTCTTAAATTTGATTTCAAAGTCGGGAATTTTCATGATTTTTCCGCGATCGTCGTCTTGCGTTTACGTAACCGCGAAAGCCGATGATGATGTCTACACGGCCTCGGGAAATTTTCACGATTTTGCCGCGATAGTGGACGACGACGATGACGTTTCCGTGACCGCGGGAGATGACGATGGCGTTTCCGTGACCGCGGGAGACAACGATGACGTTTCCGTGACCACGGGAGACGACGATGATATCTGCTCGGCCGCGGGAATTGTTCATGATTATATCGCGATCGCGGACGACGACGATTACGTTTCCGTGACCGCTGGGGACGACGATAACGTTTCCGTGACCGCTGGGGACGACGATAACGTTTCCGTGACCGCTGGGGACGACGATGAAGTTTCCGTGGCCGTGGGAGTCAATGATGATGTCTACACGGCCGCAAGGAATTTTCATTATTTTGTCGCTATCGCGGACGACGGTGATGACGTTTCCGTGACCGCGGGAGACGACGATGACGTTTCCGTGACCGCGGGAGACGACGATGACGTTTCCGTGACCGCGGGAGACGACGATGACGTTTCCGTGACCACGGGAGATGACGATGACGTTTCCGTGACCGCGGGAGATGACGATGACGTTTCCGTGACCGCGGGAGATGACGATGACGTTTCCGTGACCGCGGGAGATGACGATGACGTTTCTGTGACCGCAGGAGACGACGATGATGTCTACACAGGTGAGGGAAATGTTCATGATTTTGCCGTGATCGCGGACGACGACGATAACGTTTCCGTGACCACGAGAGATGACGGTGATGTCTAAACAGCCGCAGGAATTGTTCATGATTTTGTCGCGATCGCGGACGACGACTATTACTTTTCCGTGACCGCGGGAGATGACGATGACGTTTCCGTGACCGCGGGAGATGACGTTTCCGTGACCGTGGGAGATGACGATGATATCTGCTCGGCCGCGGGAAATGTTCTTGATTTTGTCGCGATCGCGGACGACGACGATGACGTTTCCGAGACCGCGGGAGATGACGATGACGTTTCCGTGACCGCGGGAGATGACGATGACGTTTCTGTGACCGCGGGAGACGACGATGATGTCTACACAGGTGAGGGAAGTTCATGATTTTGCCGTGATCGCGGACGACGACGATCACGTTTCTATAACCGCTGCAGTCAATGATGATGTCTAAACGTACGGTACGCGGAAGATTTCATGATAAAAAAACCAAATTTGCTAGTTAGAATTTTTTATTGCTGCATTATTTCTTTACTTGAAAACACCACATTATCATAATACTACTTTATGACAAAGACAGGGGTTGGTGTGTAGTATTATTTAGAAAATTTGGTTAAGCTATAAAAATTGGTATCGGTATCAAGAATTGAGAATCTATACATTTTGGTATTAACACCCACTAATTGTTGAAAAAGTAGTCTTGAAAAATTTGGAATTAGTCTTGAAAAGTCTGGAATTAGTCTTGAATTTTATAATGGAAATAAACTAGACACCCTGTATACAGATCACCCACACCTGTTTTGCGTCCAATCAATGTCTATCTTGAACTAATCTTGTCTGTTTGTTTACACAGGTGATGAGCCAAGATGTCAAGAAGGAGAACCCACTACAGTTCAAGTTCCGAGCCAAGTTCTACCCCGAGGACGTTGCCGAGGAGCTGATCCAAGACATCACTTTGCGCCTGTTTTACCTTCAGGTGAATTTTCTAAGTACTTTGTAAACCTACAATTTCATTTGAAGGCAATATGTTATTTGAAAGCTTTTTACTCTCAAACTAGAGGGGAAAAAATCTTTACTATTTAAACACTACCTCTACAGGCTAGGAGGGCTATAGGTGAATAGTGCCCTGGGCTGCAAAGTGATTTGCAGGGTGTCTACCAGTCGGGAATTCCGGGAAATTCGGGAAAAAGTCGGGAATTTGGAAAGGTCGGGAAAAGTCGTGAAAAAGTAATGAATTTCGGCCGAAAGTCGGGAATAATCTAACCTTTCAAAATTAGGGATGAACGGGTCCCAAAACTTTTAAAAAATGTTCTGGATCTTATATTCCTGATCATTGGGACGGGATTACATTTGAGGGGTGTGGGATGAAATGAAAATGCATCGGAATTCCAATTCGATTCAGTGATGATCAAAATAACGATTTGAATCATGGGCATTCAGTATCCATATACGTTATTGAATCAGTATCTATATACATTATTGGGTCGTCCCCATCTTAATGATTGATAATTGATAATTGATCCGTATTTATACGCTATTGAATCAGTATCCATATGTTTTTGAATCAGTATCCAAATACGTTTTTGAATCAGTATCCAAACGTTATTGAATCAGTATCTACATACGGTATTGAATCAGCATCCATATAGGTTTTAAATCAGTATCCATGCGTTATTGAATCAATATCTATATGCGGTATTGAATCAGTCTTCATATACGTTTTAGAATTAGTATCCTTACCTTATTGAAATCAGTATCCCTACGTTATTGAATTAGTATCCAAAAACGTTTTTGATTCAGCATCCATACGTTATGGAATCAGTATCTATATACGGTATGGTATTACATTACTGTTAATCACACAATGAAACAATTAAATGGGTGATAATATTTGATGGGTCACAATGATGGGTGTGTAAATAGGTATGAATCAGTATTCATATACGTTTTAGAATTAGTATCCATACGTTATTGAAATCAGTATCTATATACGTTATTGAATCAGTATCCATACGTTATTGAATCAGTATCCAAAAACGTTTTAGAATCAGCATCAATACGTTATGGAATCAGTATCTACATACAGTATTGAATCAGTATCCATTAATACGTTTTTGAATCAGTATCCATATGTTATTGAATTAGTATCTATATAAGGTATTGAATCAGTATCCAAATACGTTTTTGAATCAGTATCCATACGTTATTGAATCAGTGTCCAAATACGTTATTGAATCAGTATCCAAATACGTTTTTGAATCGGTATCCATACGTTATTGAGCCAGTATCTAGGCTATATAAGTTATTGAATCAGTATCCATATACGTTTTTGAATCAGTATCCATACGTTATTGAATCAGTGTCCAAATACGTTATTGAATCAGTATCCAAATACGTTTTTGAATCGGTATCCATACGTTATTGAGCCAGTATCTAGGCTATATAAGTTATTGAATCAGTATCCATATACGTTTTTGAATCAGTATCCATACGTTATTGAATCAGTATCCAAATACATAGTTGACTGTTACATCGATACTGTTACTTTGACTATCAGTATCCATATAACTTATTGACATTATTCAAATCGATTGACATTAATTATATAAGTTAATCACTGAGACATTGCTTAGCCATACAAGTTATTACCATCCAAGTACATGGTATACACTGAGACATTGCTTAGCCATACAAGTTATTACCATCCAAGTACATGGCATACACTGAGACATTGCTTAGCCATACAAGTTATTACCATCCAAGTACATGGCATACACTGAGACATTGCTTAGCCATACAGGTTATTACCATCCAAGTACATGGTATACACTGAGACATTGCTTAGCCATACAAGTTATTACCATCCAAGTACATTGCATACACTGAGACATTGCTCCGCCATACAAGAAGTTAAGTATACCTTGTAGTTCTGATTCTATCCTCTTATTTTATCAATGTAAACCAATTGAAAGATTCATTATTTAAATCTTACAATGGTTTTTATTTGTTTAAACCCAAACATATCTTTATTTATAAAATCAATAAAATAAAATAGGTAACATGCTTAACAACATGATGCTGCAAGTAAAAATTATGAAATAGGCAAGAAGCTCACTGATATTTCCAGAAATACTGGTTCTTCTGTGATTGCAAACAGATATTTCACTCCACTGACAAGTATGAATAGAAAAATTCCGTGTTGCTTCGAATTGAGTTACATAAACATTTTTTTTAATCGAATCGTTGCTTTGAATTGAAATGTTTTGCTGCTTGACACACCCCTACATTTGATATGGGATTTTCTCGGCATATGATTTGTTTCGATCGTCAGTGAATTTGCTGCGTCGCGAGTGACAACATATTTTGACGAATGTACCGTGACCGCGAGAAAAAGGTGTAGTAACATGTAGAATGGACCGAGTTTTTGGTCGGGATTTAAATAAAAATGGTAATGAAAAGTCGGGAAAAAGTCGGGAATTCCATTTGAGAAATCTGGTAGACACCCTGGATTTGGCACTTCTTTTTAAAACTTAATTAGCCGAAAACAAGTACAAACAACACTATTTGTAACGTCTTGTACTTAGCACTCCTGAAAATATTAGATCGGCTGAAAAACTGTGTAAGTGGTTCAAGCTTAGCTGAGTTTGGTGTTGGGAACTCGTCAATCACAGCCCAAAAAAAGTGCATCAGTGCATATATTATAAACATTGTGTCTGTGCTGGACAGTGAGGACGGAAGCCTACACAGTATACTAGTAAATCATAAATCATAAATCATTTTATTTGACCATTAAATACATATTGTACAATAGGCAAATCATACCAAGAATTACAATTTAACTCTGTAGGGCCGACAAGTATTCTATCTCAGTCAATTTGATCAAACTACTCGTATTAAACTTTAAACTATTTAAGTAAAGGCTCTGGAAAGGGAATGAACGTGCGGCAATCAAATTAACAAACTATAGTGTAAAAATCCCTACAGAGTCGTCGGGGCCCAATTAATATATTTAAACGAAGAATTTGGTGTGATATGGTTTAAAATTAAAATTAATTTAGTACTAATATCCTTTGTAATTAATTGTTCAAAAATCTAAACACTTGCAAGACTCGATTCTTTCACCGCCAAAAGACGGGATTTAGAACTCAGACGAAAAGTCTCGAGGTATCAAAAGGACGAAAAAAGAGAAATAATTTAGACGTAAAAACTATACTGTAAATCTAATAAACAAACGTGACTGTTATAGTTTTGAATTTATTCAATTAAACCGAGCCAACTTACGGCCACCGCTAGTAACTGGCATAATGAAATTGGCGGGTATGAAGCAAGTTGGCAAAAACTAATTTATTAAAATTTAGATATTTAAAATCAAATTTGGAAACGAGAATGTGAATGTTAAACGAAAATTTAACGTTAATCGTGGTAATGTGATTAACTAATATAGCTAACCTTTGGGAAACGAATTATCGACATGACGAGATTACTTTGACGACAGCGTACGAAGGAATAATTCTCTTCCTTCGCCAAATCAAGGTTTCAGCTCAGCCGAGGCTAATGCGCTCTGGTGGCGAGTGTAAGGACTAGTCAACAGCTGATTGGACATTTTATGTTAGGCTAATCTTCGTCTCTCGTCTGTCAACAAACACCGGTTTGGGGTTATGTTTTGGAGTCGTCGGCGTTAAATATTGGTAAAATCGGTCGGTTTAACTTTATTTGATGAATTGGCGTGCTATTACTGATAAATATGTCGTGTGAGTAGTGATGTAAAATACCCGGGTCAAAATCCATAAATACCCGTTTTTTTTTTTTTGGTATTTATGAAATTGATTGAAATTAATTTATATTCACCCCTAAATATGTTATTGTTATCATTACATGAAAAATTAGGATAGTCTATAACACCTTTTACAGTAACTTGAAGCTTTGCTAGTACTTTTTATTTAACCCTTTCAGTGCTAGGCCAATAATTCATATTTTATAAGACTTTTTTGTTTGCCTTTTAATTCCATTACCCGTTGTTGAATTTTAACTGTCATGCTGTCACTGTTTTATTAATTAGGCTAATTTTGAATAATAACACAATAAGAAAATATATTAGAAAGATAAATCCCGGTATTTGTAGTAAACATCAAATAAAACTTAGTTTTTGTTGTAATTTTCCTGGTTTTCCTATAAATTTTTATGTTCTGATAGCATTATTTGAAACCGAAATCTCACAAAATCAAAAGACATATAGTTTACAATGTAATATTGAATTTAACCCTGATTTAGTTGGACGAGGTTATTGTAATATAGCAATTTTTGGGAAACTAATGTTTTGCAGCAAAGTCTCAGGAACACATTTACTACTACTAAAACTAAAAGATTGCATCTAAATAGTCCGTGACTAGCTGGTGCTGCTACCTAGTAACGCATTGAACAACTATCTGCAGCGCCATCTGTTCGCAATCGGTGGCGACAGCTTAAATACCGGGTTTTGACTCCCCAGTCTTCAAGCACAGATAGCCGAGAAGGCTAGGGCGTGTGTCACTTGGCCAGTGGCATTCGTCTGCTCGGGTTCGAATCCCGTCCTGTGTGGCAAATAATTGGTGACCTGTGTGTTTGTAGCGATATACTACAACCACTGGGGCATAGTGAGGTGTTCATAATCCTTGGTTTAGACATACACCTCGAAATCATCGGATTGGGCGAATCTTTTAGCTAAGTGGTTGGTAGTGTATCCTATGAACATGCAGGTCACCAATGGCCGTTTTGCTATTTTTTTTTAAATAACCTTCCTTTCTATATCCCTTAGGGTTTTTTTAAAACAACGATATATCGTTTCATAGCACTGAAAGGGTTAATGATTTAGCATTTTTTTTTTTATAAAATAAAGTTTAAAAATAAGAATGGGGTTTCGTTTTTTATCAAGACAACACCTCATCAGAGAAATGAACCTAAACCTACTTCTACTGTTATTAAATTATGATAGTTAAAAAATTTTATCGTATAAATGGCTTGGAAGGCTAGACAGACCTAAGGCAGAATGGCAGAATACTAAAAGTAATTTAACTTTTCTGTGTTACCGCTTAGTTGGAAAAATAATATATTTGTATAAACCTACTAAAAAAATGTATCTCCTGTTTTTTGGTCTAACTTAAGAGTTTGAAAGATTTATTGTTCTTTAGATTTAAATGTTTTGTATCACAAGTTTATGAAATTAGTTTTTTTTTTTTTTTTTTATACCATTGATACCAACAAAAGATCTAAAACAAAAATATTATTAAATCCTGCCATCCTACAGATTGAATTTTAATTATTTTCTTAAGTTGTTTACACGCCTAGGCCACTACTAGGTTAAATTTTCATGTATTTATAAATAATAATTATTACTTTGCAAATAATTTTTCTTCACTTTCAATAAAATAAATTCATCTATCCATCATAGAAATTAAAAAATCATAAGTAGTCAGGACCAGTGCAAAAATTTAAATCCATGTGTGTAGCCCCTGAGCTGTTGGACATAATGTAAGACTAAATTACTTACGTAATTCCCGTCACAGCTCAATAAAATATGTCTATTCAGGACATGTTTCGGTGTTAAAACACCATCGTCAGCTTCAGGTACATAGTGTAGAGTTAAACAATTATGTATTTATTCGTGTCCGTACTGTGTTTATCTTCTGACGATGTTAACAACTGATCAACTCTACACTATGTACCTGAAGCTGACGATGGTGTTTTTAACACCGAAACATGTCCTGAATAGACATATTTTATTGAGCTGTGACGGGAATTACGTAAGTAATTTAGTCTTACACCAGTGCAACCATGCGACCAGGGTATTTATGCTGATTATGCTTTTTGCTCAGACCTGGGTATTTATGGCGATTGTACCCAGAAGTAAAATGCTAGTAGGGACCATATGAAATTTTGTTTAACACATTTTATCATCATTTTACTATCCTTACAGGGTTATAATTGCAAAAAACATCTCAATCTTCTCTAACGTTAATAAAAATTATAAATACCCAGTTTTTGGGTAGGTATTTATCCGGGCCTGGGGTAAATTCCCGGGTAAATACCCAATTTATATGTACCTACCCACTGGGTATTTACTCGGCCCACATCACTACGTGTGAGTGTATGTATATACTTCACTGTGATTAAAACTAGGCCTACGTTCTTTGGCCCATAGCCCAAGCTATGGCCAATACATAACCTTGGAGTAGACTATTGTGGATGGTAAGTTGTGGTGTTTATTTAATCGTGACATGTTTTACCCCCCTTAATATTTGGTTCCTTACAACGTAATAGGCTAAACTCATAACTTTAATTTTTCTACTTATACAAACTCTTGCTATGATTGTTGTTTTGTGTTTTTTTTTTTTACACAGTAGCCTTTAACAGTGTGACTTTCTTATAAACTTTTTTGTCTTAATTCTTTTTGTGCAATTAATTCAAAAACATATGAATCAGGAGTTTAAATGATATAAGTTTTACTGTACTTTTCATTTTATTTTATAATTGAGGGCTAATTAAGGTTGAGTCAGACAACAGGAAGATAATTGGCTTAAAGTGGTATTATTACAAGTGATTATCTAACCAATTTACCTGAACACTTGATTGGTTCTTATGTGAAGAAGCTTCTAAGCTAACAACGCATTGAATATCAAAAATGATGAAGGCAAGATTTTTCTGTACCTAACTTTTATTGTAAGCAACCACAAAAAATGTAATTGCTGTCAACATGGTTTTGACATGTGAATATTGTGTTAGCTAAAATGATTTTTTATTACTGTAATGTGTGGTGTTGACAGGTGAAGAATGCCATTCTGTCTGATGAGATATATTGTCCGCCAGAGACATCTGTGTTGTTAGCCTCGTACGCAGTGCAGGCAAGGCATGGAGACTACAACAAGAACATCCACAACTCTGGCTTCTTGACCAACGACAGGCTGCTGCCTCAGAGGTAAAACTCTCATCTACACACACACTACGCACTGGAATAAACGGAAGAAAATAAGTCGTTACTTTGGTCATAAAAAAATCAAGTCAATTATTAAATGTTTTTAAGCTCTCCAAAATGATTTGGGAAGAAATTAAAACATTTTATATTTTGGAGATCAAAAATGAGAAACCTCTATTTTTACCTCACAAAACCCCCAAAATATTTCTTACCTTAAGTCTGATCATGCTGGTTCACAAACTCGTTTGATTTTGTACCAAAATTTCATCAAAATTAGATAATTTTTACGCAGGTTATCGTGCTAAAGGACATATCCATAATTATATGAATGGTGTTTTTGGCTTCTGGGGGCATCGAAATGAAACTGAAAATCACTTTTGTACCTAAACTAGAAATTTTTTCTTTGATTGCTAGATATTAATATATAATACAAGTCACCTAAACCTAACAATTTACTATGTGACAGCTGGTGTTGTGACAAAAACAAGCTGGTTTTGTTTCCATTCTGCTACTTTTGCCTTAAAAATTAAAATCTTAATTTTAAACTTTAAGTCTCAATAAACACTTAAACATCACATTACTTGGTCTGCAGAGTGATGGATCAACACAAGATGACGAGGGAGGAGTGGGAGCAGAGCATCACCACGTGGTGGAATGAACACCGGGGGATGTTGCGTGAGGACGCCATGATGGAGTATCTCAAGATAGCCCAGGACCTGGAGATGTACGGTGTTAACTACTTTGAGATCCGCAACAAGAAAGGAACTGAGCTGTGGCTTGGAGTCGACGCTCTTGGACTCAATATCTATGAAAAAGATGACAAGTGAGTGTCCCTATTAGGCTCTACAGAGAACTATTTACAAAGAGCATTATTAAGTGGTTTTGTTTTTCTCATCAATGTCACTACTACTCAAGAAAACCTAATCCGCCTTTAAAAAATATACAAGGAAACGCTCTGTAACACTTTTGTATATTGGTTCCTTAGGTCAATACAATGAAAAATCATTGTAAACATGGGTCTAAAATGCCTGGTTTTTGGCCGTCTGGTCTCACAAAAATTTCAATATCTTGGTTGCTTATTAATCGATCTTTAATTTTGAACTCTTGTTGGATTAGTCATACGATGTTCTACTCTTAATAGTTTTTAGTAGGATCTCTTGGTTCTAGATATTTAAGATAGAGCATTTTGAATGGTTGCCATTTTGTATTGGTAGAATTAAGAAATTTGGTACTTTGTGCAAAGAAAAGTCCTATACGTCATTACTTATGTTCTTGAGTCAATTTCTTTTGGGGTTCATAATATATGGATATATTTGTAAAAATCATATACAGACAGGAAACAAGAAATTTTAACCCATGACGTTTTTTTTCATCGTTTTGACCTAAGGAACAGTATATAAAAGTGTCCCAGAGCGTTTATTCTTGTAATATTAAACTAATTAAGGTTGAATTTAAAAACAGCAATAAAACTATTAATTTGAACTAGTTTTCTTTCTGATAGTGGTTTCTTCAATAATAGGCTACTGTTAAAATGTTTGCAGTCTAGATCACAAGAAGTAGATGCTCTTTCCTCTGAATATTATTCCAAATCTATATATATAATACGTGAAGCCGTTTTTTGTTAACGCAACTCCTCCCTTATTTGTAAACCAATTTCAACGTTTAAGGTGTCAAAAGATTCGTCTCAATATGTAGTTTTGCAATAAGGTTTTAGAAGTTTAAAATTCCTACTCTGAAGAGCGTGAGACCCTCTCAAAGGTCGGGTTTTCCCCATAAGAAATACATTGGAGAAATTTAAAAACCAAAAACAGCTGTTTATAAAAAGAAACTCATTAGCTTTTTGGGAGTAAATATTAATGTTTGTAATATTCAGTAGGTTAAGACCAAGTTAAACCGGTAATCAGTTTTGTAGGAAGAACAGAAAATGCCTCAAGTTCAAAGAAGAAATATTGAAAACGTGAGTAGGAGACAATTAATAGTAAGATATCTTATGCGTATGAGGAGAGTAGAAATAGAGAGGCCTGGTCTAACAGACAACCATCCAGATACACATTCACTTGGTTATATGTATAATATTTGCCAGTTCTGCTATACATCGATGGTTCTGCTCAGCAACTCACTTTAGAAGTGAAAAAATGTACGAAGCACATAGTGTTGTCACGGTGGTAAAGTAAACTTGCCTAATGTCAGATCAAATGAATGCATGCAAGAAATGTTTACTTCTGACAATGACAAAACAAGATATTTCAAAACATTTAGTATAAACTATATTTAATGCCTTGACTATGATTAGTTCAAGTAGTAAGATTTTACCAAATCTTGGCGGACCTTATATCTTTATTGTAAACTTTTGTATTACTCGCTCTACTTCAATTGAGAAAAAACACAAATGGATTGTTTACTTCTAGGTTATGTTTCCAGTACCTAGGGAAAACTTATACAAGGTCTATTGACTGAATTTACCAACACAATCCAGACATTTCAAGTCAAAAATAAGAAGTTTCAACAACTCATTTGCTATTGAAAGTTTTAGTGGCAATATTAGACCAAACATAAGGGAAGGAATTAGTGTTTAAGTATTCAACGATCAAGTTGTTACGGTCAAGTTTATTTTTATGTTTTAGGAAAGGCAAATAATATACGCTGTTCAAAAAGAGAATACGAAAATTGCTATCCAAATCGTATAGCTACAAGAGTTGTCCAACCTATTTCAACAAATGAATCCATACTTTCAAAACGTTGGGACAGGTATTTAGAGAAACTCCACTGAAAAACGTGAGACTGACAGACAACACGTTAAAATATGTTAACCAACTTTCAATGGTGTTGCTGTCATAATTCAAAGCAGATTATGACAGTTAAGTTGGCGAAAAATGGACCACATGAAATGGTTGATATCACCTAACTTTTAAGGGTTCTCCACGAAGAAAATTTGCTTGATTAGGGGGATGTCTCAAAGAAATAAAATGACCCAACTTAAATTACTAAACACAGGTTATCAGTAGGCCTAAGGCAACATTTTTCTTCAATTCCCAATTCTGGAAAAAACTAAGTTGCAACATGTTAACTCGAATTAAAGCAGATCGTTTAGCATTCATTAGAAGTTATCAATTAAAACTGAGAGCAGAAATAATGTAGGTGCAGGCCCACTTTTATAAACGGGCAGACTGGGCATATGCCCAGGGGCGCCGGTGGTTGGGAGGTGCCCGAGGGGCGCCCTGAACCACCACCCGCACTAGGAAAAATAGGGTTTTATCAGCCGGGATTTCAAAAATAAATTGGGTGGATTCAACTTGTAGTTAAGAGATTTTCCCTTATTGCAAAAGTAAATAAATACAACAAAATTGAAAATACTCAACCTTCAGATTATACCTCGTGTAGTCAGGGAAAGGCAGGCAGCAGTGTGAACCGGGCGCACTCACTATACTATCAGAGGCAGGGAGGCCTGCATGGTGGAAGGAAAATACATAGGTGTGCTATTCCCATCATATGCTGATGTCACTCAGATTGCAAACACCATTTTACCATTGAGAAAAATTATAAAAACAATAACAATCAAATTAAAACAAACAGGGTGTCTAGTAGTCGGGAAAATCGGGAAAGTCGGGAATTAGTATTGAATTTCAAAATGGTCTTGAAAAGTCGGGATTTAGTCTTGAATTTGATTTCAAAGTCGGGAATTTTCATAATTTTGCCGCGATCGTCGTCTTGCGTTTACGTAACCGCGAAAGCCAGTGATGATGATGTCTACGCGGCATCGGGAAATGTTCACGATTTTGCCGCGATAGTAGACGACGGCGATGACGTTTCCGTGACCGCGGTAGATGACGATGACGTTTCCGTGACCGCGGGAGACGACGATGATGTCTACACGGCCGCGGGAAATGTTCATGATTTTGCCGTGATCGCGGACGACGACGATAACGTTTCCGTGACCGCGGGAGATGACGGTGATGTCTAAACAGCCGCGGGAAATGTTCACGATTTTGCCGCGATCGCGGACGACGACGTTAACGTTTCCGTGACCGCGGGAGATGACGGTGATGTCTAAACAGCCGTGGGAAAAGTTCACGATTTTGCCGCGATCGCGGACGACGACGATGACGTTTCCGTGACCGCGGGAGATGACGATGACGTTTACGTGACCGCGGGAGACGACGATGATATCTGCTCGGCCGCGGGAAATGTTCATGACTTTGTCGCGATCGCGGGAGATTACGATGACGTCTCCGTGACCGCGGAAAATGACGATGACGTTTCCGTGACCGCGGGAGACAACGATGACGTTTCCGTGACCGCGGAAGACGACGATGACATATCCGTGACCGCGGGAGACGACGATGACGTTTCCGTGACCGCGGGAGACGACGAAAACGTTTCCGTGACCGCGGGAGACGACGATGACGTTTCCGTGACCGCGGGAGACGACGAAGACGATTCCGTGACCGCGGGAGACGACGATGATATTTGCTCGGCCGCGGGAAATGTTCATGATTTTGTCGCAATCGTGGACGACGACGATGACGTTTCCGTGACCGCGGGAGATAACGATGACGTTTCCGTGACCGCGGGAGACGACGATGATGTCTACACGGCCGCGGGAAATTTTCATGATTTTGCCGTGATTGCGGACGACGACGATCACGTTTCTGTAACCGCATGTCTAAACGTACGGTACGCGGAAGATTTCATGATAAAAAAAAACAAATTTGCTAGTTAGAATTTTTTATTGCTGCATTATTTCTTTACTTGAAATCACCACATTATCATAATACTACTTAATGACAAAGACAGTGGTTGGTGTAGTATTATTCAGAAAATTTTGTTAAGCTATAAAAATTGGTATCGGTATCAAGAATCGAGAATCGATACATTTTGGTATCAACAACCACTAATTGTTGAAAAAACTAGTCTTGAAAAATCTGGAATTAGTCTTGAAAAGTCTGGAATTAGTCTTGAATTTTATAATGGAAATAAACTAGACACCCTGAACAAATATATACTTATATGGCAATACATCAGCTGATTTTTTAGGTGACGTCTGCAAATTACGGGAATAGCATGTAGGCCAGCTGTAGTCTACAGGCCTACGGTTCACGTGGCTCTCCATCACGTGGCTCTCCATCCCAGTCCCGACCCCATCCCCACAAGTCACAATCACAACTAGGTACCAACTACCGCGCGGCGCCAGTCCAGTAGTACAGTACTCCACCCTCAGTAGTCAGTAGGTTGTGTTCTTGTTGTGCCTGCTGAACAGTCTTCAAATCAGTCACAACACAACCTAAAGTCAGTGTTGACACTCACACTACAGTTAGTGAACCAGTAATAAATAAATAGAGAAGGTGTTGATACAAGTAAGTAGGGTAGGGTACATAAACAGTGAAAAATGCATACAAAACCTAGTGGAGCCGAGAGCCGCAAGCGGTTGGCTCAAAGAAAACAAACTCAAGAAGCAGTTTTAAAGAACGTGAGTGAAGAACGTTTTAATGACTGGTTTATTAACCAGTATTTCCATTGATACGGAATTGAAAACTCCCTCCCGAAACAAAACTGGTAAAAAAACACGCTAATGTATAAATATATATATGCATAGGCCTATAGTAGAACCATGGAAAAAATATACTCCTTAGTAGAATCTTGTTCAATACGTGTGTAATGCAATGAACTGTACTGTACTGAACAGTAATCCAATCACTGTGTAGTGCATTAAGATTGGTGCAGGGCAAGAGGCATTCGCATAGCAACTTGTCAAGTTCATTGCACTCACCCCAACCCCCAATACACCTGCTGTGAATTTCGGCGAACTGATGAGTCAACTCCCCCCTTCCCTCCTCCCCTCCTGCACTGCTGTGGTCAAAACCTTTATAGTTATATATATATATATATATTATATACATATTATATATATATTATATACATATTATATATATATATTATATACATATTATATATATATTATATACATATTATATATATTATATACATATTATATATATATATTATACTGTATATATATATATAATGGGGGCGCTGCTTTTGGGTTTGCCCAGGGCGCCACTGACCCTTAACGCGGCCCTGTGTAGGTGAACCTTGACGACGCAAACAGAGATATTTAAAATTAGTTTCTAACAAGTGTTTAAACAACTCTAAGATGTGGCTACAATTACTCGAATTTAAGCATAAAGTTTTCATCGGCGTTATGTTTCATACTATGCGGCTCATTGAGCCGCACGGGTTCTCTAGTTATATATAATCAGGGTGTCCGGCAACCGGGAAAAGCGGGAATTATACTGAAATTCTGTAATAATGGTAGTAATGTGAGAGAATTTTTTGGGGATAGATTTTTTATTTTAAATATTCAACAATTATTGAGAGCTAAACAGAACACATGTAAAATCTTTCGCCATCCGGAAAAATGTATTAGCGTAAAATTCTAAATCAGCATGTTACGAAGACGACAGGCTACAAACGCCTTTTTCTCGAATCCGTCCAGCCCAGGACCAGGATTCTAGCTACTACGTCAGAGCTCGGTTTCTGAACGACGGCTTGACGCGTGAATACAACAACTAAATTCTATGTATAATGGCATGGGACTGGCATCTTTGGTCTAATTTCTCGGCTACCTGCTACACTCGTCTAGATTGGCAACTCAGACAAGCAATTTTGTTTTTCCGTTCTTATGTGTAATGTTGTCATAATAAAACCTGGCAAGCCTGGTATATGCTGCTCATGAGGTTAACCTCTACGCGCTACGGCACTAATAGCCACTTCTGCAACTCAACATTTCTCACTCGTGGCCACCCTTCCCCAACAGCTACCTAACTGCTACCCCAGCTAGAGGCCTTACTTCTTCTGCCACATAGATGGGCTTTGCTAAGTGGTGATGTGCGCATGTTTTTAATCGGTTTTGCGGCTTGCATGAGTGTGTTGCTAAATTTACCCTTAAAAAATGCCTTGGGAAAAAATTGAAGTTACTTGGGAAATATGCGGGAATTCATCTGAGCCGATTTGCTGTACATCCTGATAACAGTCTGTTGTATTAACCTGTTATTTTATTTCATAATACCCTATCCGATCTTGTTGCAGGTTAACGCCCAAGATTGGCTTTCCTTGGTCAGAGATTCGAAACATCTCCTTTAATGATAGAAAGTTTATCATCAAGCCAATTGACAAGAAGGCGCCAGATTTTGTGTTTTTTGCTCCTCGAGTGCGTATCAACAAGCGCATCCTAGCTCTGTGTATGGGCAACCATGAGCTGTACATGCGACGGCGCAAACCTGACACCATCGATGTGCAGCAGATGAAGGCCCAGGCCAGGGAGGAGAAACAGGCCAAGCAGTTGCAGAGGTAAACACTTGTCACTACTACTTCACTACAAGAGCCATCTCTAAATTTCTAGTTTAAATACTATTCCTATGTTTTGCATATTGAGATATTCTTTTTCTCCTTTAACAGTAAAATGAAAAATAGATGTGTATTAATGATCTATTCCATCACATTTTTTGCTTGGTAACGCAGCCACCAAGAGCTTAAAACTGATTCATCTTAAAGACAAACTTAAAAACAACTACTAACAATGTATATAATTATATTTTTAAATGACACGCTTGTAGGTGAGGTTATAGTTAATGGATGAACTTAGTGGGCTCCATTCACATTAGTTGTGTGTTTATCCAGAACCTATCAGGTGCACATAATATGATTTAACACAAACACACAATTGTCTGATACTTCCGTGTGTAATTGGACTAGTCCTGAATAATCAAGTGGAGCGTACAAATATTTTATAGGTCTAATGTTAATCATTTCAGAACAATTGTAAAAATTAAATAAAACCTAACTGTTTTGTGATATTGTTTTTTTGTTTTTTTTAGGGAAAAGCTTCAATTAGAAATAGCAGCAAGAGAAAAGGCAGAAAAGAAGCAGCAAGAGTACGAGGAGAAAATTAAATCAATGCAGGATGATTTGGAGAAAAGGCAAATGGACTTAGAAGCAGCCAAGGTATAAAAAACTGATAAGGGTTTATCAGGGTATCTAGTAGTCGGGAAAATCGTCGGGAACCAGTATTGAATTTCAAATGGTCTTTAAAAGTCGTGAATTTTATGGACCTTGTTATATCTAATTAAATAATAATGATTTATTTGCGATCGCGCAAGAGCTTCTGATTACGTTTTTGTGACCGCAAAATACGATGATACTCAGGGCCGTATTTCCCTAACGGCGATTGCCGGGGGCCTTGGCCTAGGAGAGGGCCTCACTTGGGGCCTCAAATTTTTTTTTTTTTTTACCATGACCACGGGAGATGACACGATGATGATGATGTTTACACGGCCGCAGGAGATGTTTGTGATTTTGCTGCTGCCGCGTAAGACAACAATCACGTTTTCGTGAGCGCGGGAGACGATGATGATGTCCACACAGCCGCGGGAGACATTCATGATTTTGCCGCTATCGCGCAAGATGACGATCACATTTTCGAGAACGCGGGAGACGGAGATGACAAAAGTGTTGCACCACTCACCAAACGATATACACGTTCACCACTCACTCACTCACTCACTCCCATGGCCATTTATGCCCAAGGCGGGATTTGGCCGCACCAACAACTGCTTTCCATCTCTCTCGATCTTCTGCCTCTTCCACTTCTGCCCCCACTTCTCTGACGTCCCTGGAAACACTATCCCACCATCTCTTCTTGGGCCTTCCTAATGGTCGTTTCCCTTCTGGCTTTCCTATACTTGCTTCTTTTAGTAGTGAACCTCGTTCTCTCCGTAGTGCGTGTCCTGCCCACCTTATTCTCCTTGCTTTCACGTGTGCTACTACATCATAATCATTGTACATATTCCTTATCTCCCTATTATGCCTTTTTCTCCATTCCCCATTTTCTTGTATTGGTCCATATACCATTCTTAAAATTTTGTTTTCAAAAACAATCATTTTGTTTTCTTCTTTTTTATTTAAAATCCAAGTTTCAGCTCCATATGTTAATACTGGTCGAATTATACTATGATATATTTTTATTTTCGTTTTATGTGAGAGAATCTTTGAAGTCAACAATTTCTTACAAGAATACATACATTTATTGGCCTGAGCAATCCTATAATTTATTTCCATTTCTTCACTATTGCTGCTTGATATAATTACCCCTAGATATTTAAATTGTTCAACAACTTCAAAAGTATGTCCATCTATACTAATTTCATTTGTCCTCACTTCATTTGGCTGTCTCGTGAAGTGTATATATTTTGTCTTCTCATCATTAATCTTTAGGCCCATTTTTTCTGATTTTTTTATGAACAGTCTGGTTAGCTCCTCTAGGTCATTTCTGTTTTTGGACAGAATTACTACATCGTCCGCAAAAGCTAGGATGTTTATTTTTGTTCCCATTTCTAAACCTATATTTGTTTGTCTTACTTGTTGGAGGGCCTCTTCTAATGCTATGTTAAATAGTATAGGCGACATTCCATCACCTTGCCTTACGCCTGTTCTTACTTCAAAGCTTTCTGATAACTCTCCATCTACTTTTACTTTGCATTTTGATTCATTCAAGGACATTTCTACTAGTTTTATTAGTTTTCTGGGGATCCCAAACTTTTCCATCTGCTGATATATTCTTCCCCTGTCAAGGCTATCATAGGCCTTCGAAAAATCAATGAAAAGCCCATGTACTTCTTTATTGTATTCCCAGTGCTTACTAATAACTTGTTTAAGTATGTGAATCTGGTCCATTGTAGATCTCCCTTTTACAAATCCTGCCTGGTGATCCTCTATTATACTACTTGTGTATTCCTCGAGTCGCTTTTGAATAATCTTTGATAAAACTTTATATCCATGACTGAGCAAAGATATTCCTCTGTAATTTCCACATATTCCTTTGTCTCCTTTTTTATATATTGGCACTATTATAGATTCTTTCCATGTTTTTGGCATTTTTTCTTCGTTCCATACTCTACATATTATATCATGGAGTTTTTCTAGTGTAGTCCTGCCACCTTTTTTAAATAATTCTGCTACTATACCATCTTCTCCAGGAGATTTGTTATCCTTTAAGGAATTTAATGCTTGTTCTACTTCTTCAATACTTGGATTCTCAACAAGAGGTTGTACATCATGGTATATGGGGATTTCTTCATTATTGTCAATTTCTTCCCCATTTAGTAACTCCTCAAAGTGCTCTCTCCATCTGTTGGTCACTTCCTGTTTCTGTACTAAAATATTGCCCTCTTTGTCCTTAATGCCAAATGCATTTGCTGTATATCCACTTCTGAAGTGCCTAACACATTTAAAAAAGTCTCTGGCATTTTGTGCACTCTGATCTCTTTCTGCTTTTTCTAGTAATCCCTTCAAGTACTCTCTCTTTTTCTTACGCAGGGTTCTTGTGGTTTCTTTGTTTACTCTAAAATATTCTTCTCTATCTTCGTTAGACTTACTGTTCAACCACTTCTTTTTCCTCTCGCTTCTTTCCAGTATAGCTTGCTCACATTCTCCATCAAACCACGTTCACCACAAAACTGTAAATTTAAACTCAAGCTTTCAGAGCTAGCGAAATGTAACTTGCACTCTAGCACGAATTTACCAAAACGGCAAAGTACGAGTCCAACAAAATCACTTCAAAACGAACGAACGAATAGCCGGGACAAGAATGAAAAGCAGAAAGACCCTCTCCCTCTTCTCTCCTCACCTACGTCACAATTCAAGAGGAAGGTAAAATCACTTACTGATTGGCCAGCCGAACAGAAAAAAGCTGAGACTCTTGACAGCCGGCACAAGACGCTGCAGCGAAATCGCTGAAAAATATGGCTCGTCCTCCCTTTTTCTCCCGGAGCCTGTCCCAGACGTAGTCGAACAACCAAACACTGACACTGACATTGTCTGCGGTCTTGGATTTAGAGGTTATGTATGATGTCAGTTTAGAGTTGCGACTAGGCCTCCACAACAGCCAACATCTGGCTGTTTAACTTTCGTGGTAGTGACGTGGTAATAACAAACAGTTCAAGATAACTGTTTGTAATTATGAATGAAGTTATTTTTACCCCCTAAACATTTGGCCTGTTACAATATAGTAGTTATTTAATGTGTTAAGAAGAGTTTGAACCCGAATTGGCTAGTTAGAATTTTTCATTGCTATTTTTTCTATACTTGAAAAACACTTCATTTATCTTAAAAAAATACTTTATGAAATACAGACAGGAGTTTGTGTAGTATAACCAAATCATTTAGAACATTTGGTAAATTCTAAAATTTAGACAAAATCCTTCCGCTGGATTTCAAGATACAGTAGAGCGTCAAAAATCTGAAAAGTAAAATATCCGAACCACTCCTGAGGGTTTTAAAATTATGAATTAGCGCAGAGACAAGAGTTGTTTTACAATTTCGCAGGCCAAACAGTCGGCGCCCGGCGGGGAAATGAGTAAATGTGCCGAGCTAGTCAGTGTTTTGTTCGTTTCCAATGTATAAATTCTACATATTTTTTTCAAGAAACGAATTACTGTAATACCTAAGTACAACAAACCATTGTTTTTATTTCATTTACCCTATCCTAGAACTGTATTTTTAATACTATATGCCTAATTATTATGTGTCTATTAGGCATTTCTAGGCTATGTTTGAAAATGCGAACAAATCGGTAATCTGAACTACCTACGACCCCAATTGGTTCGGATTTTCGACGCTCTACTGTATTTATTACAGACAGATAGACAAACAGACATAGCTCGTATAGAGTATAGGACTGTATTAATTATTTTAGTTAATTAGTCTTTATTGCAAATGTTCTTTTAGCCTTAAAAAAATTTGTTTGTCATATTGTAGGTAACTAAAATGTCTTTTTTTTTATACCTCCATTGCAGGTCTCAAGTAGACTAGCTTTATTCTTCCTAGAGTGTAAAAATCTCTTTTTCTCATCACCTGTTCATTTTGCTTACTTGTTGAATTAAAAATATTTTCAATTTGTTGTTAACGTTTATAATGTTATCTATGTTCATTACATCCTGAATGCAATGTCACCTCTAGACTTCCCATGTAATGTAAAATTTTGAAGCCAAGAAAATATATGAAGTTGAGGACTCGACTACTGTATCTCAACTCAACAGAGGGTACCAGTGTATTGGGTTAAATATTAATTAAAATCAATGCAGTATCATAGCAAACAGCTGATGATTTATCACTTAACACAGAATATTGTCATGAGTTAGTAGACCATCTCATCAGATCGCACCACTTTTTTTGCTTCAAATCTTTATATTACATGGGAAGTCTATTCTGAGTCAATGCCTCTACTGTATCTCAAGTTGATCAATCAGAGTGTTATATCATTGAACAGTGCAGCAGTAACAGTAATCTATTATGCTTCTCATTGCTGCTCTTATATCTAGTACAAACAACTTAAAGAAGTGTCGGCCTTGTAAAGCCTATATGATATAAATTAGAAAGTCTCCTGTGGTTCATGTGTCATCTCTCTTACTGAGTTATATACTCATGTTGCGTAGGAGATGATCCGACGGTTGGAGGAGCAGCTGAGACAACTACAGGCTGCTAAGGAGGAGCTGGAGCAGCGCCAGAACGAATTGCAGGCTATGATGGAGCGGCTGGAGGAAAGCAAGAACATGGAGGCTGCTGAGAGAGCCAAACTGGAGGAGGAGATCAGAGCCAAGCAAGAGGAGGTGTCTCGTATACAGACTGAGGTCACGGAAAAGGACCAGGAGACTAGGAGACTGCAGGTACTTTCTATATTTACAATATTTTGATAATAAGCTTCATAAAGGAGGAAATCAGAGCCAAGCAAGAGGAAGTGTCTCGTTTACAGACTGAGGTCACGGAAAAGGACCAGGAGACTAGGAGACTGCAGGTACTTTCTATATTTACAATATTTTGATAATAAGCTTCATAAAGGAGGAAATCAGAGCCAAGCAAGAGGAGGTGTCTCGTTTACAGACTGAGGTCACGGAAAAGGACCAAGAGACTAGGAGACTGCAGGTACTTTCTATATTTAATATTTTGATAATAAGCTACATAATGGAGGAAATCAGAGCCAAGCAAGAGGAGGTGTCTCGTATACAGACTGAGGTTACGGAAAAGGACCAAGAGACTAGGAGACTGCAGGTACTTTCTATATTTACAATATTTTGATAATAAGCTACATAATGGAGGAAATCAGAGCCAAGCAAGAGGAGGTGTCTTGTTTACAGACTGAGGTCACGGTAAAGGACCAGGAGACTAGGAGACTGCAGGTACTTTCTATATTTTCAATATTTTGATAATAAGCTACATAGAGGAGGAAATCAGAGCCAAGCAAGAGGAGGTGTCTCGTTTACAGACTGAGGTCACGGAAAAGGACCAGGAGACTAGGAGACTGCAGGTACTTTCTATATTTTCAATATTTTGATAATAAGCTACATAGAGGAGGAAATCAGAGCCAAGCAAGAGGAGGTGTCTCGTATACAGACTGAGGTCACATCCAAGGACCAGGAGACAAGGAGCTGCAGGTACTTTCTATATTAGCAGTATTTTGATATAATGATTTTACCGCGATCGCAGACTACGACGATGACGTTTCCGTGATCGCGGGAGACGATGATAACGTCTACATGGCCGTGGGTAATGTTAATGTTCTTGCCCCTATTGCGTGCGAAAACGATGACGTTTTGGTGACCGCGAGAGACGACGATGACGTCTACACAGCTGCGAAAATGGTCTTAATTTTTCCCCAACGGCAAAAGACAGTGATGATGTTTACGTAGTTTAGGAAGATATTTCGGATTTTGCAGTGATCCCAGAAGGCTAAGATGATATCTCCACGACCGCGGGTGATGATCACGATTACCTCAAGTTTGGCTTGACTAAAAATGTCAGGCTAGCACACTTCTAAAATATCATTTTCTTTTTGATTTTTGTTTTTAGATCTTAATTTATCATAAATATGGTAGTTTTTTTTATTGGGTTTAGAAGGGTTTAAACATTGGCTAGTTTGAATGTATCATTGCTGCAAAAAGATTTTTTCTTGAAAACACTTAATTGCCTCAAAAATACTTTATGGACATAAAGTAGGACATAGACATAAGAGGACATAGACAGGAGTCAGTGTAGTATAACCAATCTGGTAAAACTAGCCTATAAAAAAATCGTATCGGTATCGAGAATTGATAAATTTTGGTAGCAACACATCGTTTATATCAAAGTACATAAAATTATTGGATTCTGAGTCATAATTCGTCTATTAACATCCGAGGATACATCATCAATGAATTTGTTCTTTCACTGAAACAAGTTACTACTTGGGAAACACCTCCTCATATTCCTTTCTCGATGAGCATATAATGCTCATAATCTACAAGTAGATACCTGTCATCTTTAGACATGACTTCCTATACCAAACTCTTTTGTTCTTTACGTGATTTATTGCTGTTAATGTTTGGCAACTTTTTTTCTTAAGTTGGAGTAGGCCTAAGCTGTGAATTTAAACTTCAGTTTTATAACTGAACCAAAATTAATGAATTAATAAATCACAATTGGACAGTATTCTTAATGTAGTTTTATATATATATATAATATATACAAATATATATATATATATATATCATCCGAATCTGAACCTCTAATTATCCAAACCGAATCCGATGACTAGCTTATTGAAAAGAGCGAACTGCCTTTAGTTGTTGATCTAAAGTTTATACTCTTTAATGGAGGTAGAATATAGGAGACTGAGGATATGTTTTTCTCATAGGTTTAGACCTAATTATAAATAATTGATCAAACTCTGGAGGTCTTCATGATTTTTCAGGGTCCAATATAATTAATAATCTCCTGTCTTTGTGTTTGTTATCAGGAAGAGGTTGAGGCTGCACGTAAGAAGCAGATCGAGGCGGATGCTTTGCTGTTGGCTGCCACGACGACGCCCCAGCACCACCATGTGGAGGAGAATGAGCAAGATGAGAATGACGACGAGCTACCTAATGGGGATGTGAGCAAAGAACTGGACACTGATGACAACATCGTTGACCCTGTTGAGGAGCGACGCACACTGGCAGAACGCAATGAGCGCTTGCACGACCAGCTCAAGGTACTCAAGATAATATTAGTACTATGAAACTAAAGTAGAATTGTCTAGTTTGGTTATAATCCTGGCTTTTCAAGAATATTTTAGAATCTGATTATACATTTAATTTATTATTTCAATAATTTTATAAATATAGCAAAGCAATAATAATCATATAAATTTAACTGTGTGAGTGTTTTTATCAGTTGTCAATACAGTATTTTACATGTTTACACAGGTGCCCATTTTAAGCGACCTCTAATATTATATGATTGTGAGAGTCAGTTGAGAGATGGTGCTTTGTAACTATGGTACTTAGGGTAGTTTGATCAGACTACATTACTTCAAGAAGAACTGGCAATATTGGGTTCACTAAAACTTAAAATAGATACACCACCAATATTTAATATTAAATACCTTCATTAAAGATTGGTGATGTTTTTTATTTAAAATTTTACATCCACGTTCCATATAATGTGTTTTCATTCCTTCTTCCTTAATATTGTGGATTGAGGAAATTCTGAATCCATTTTACTAGCAGTGAAAACATAAAACATATTTGGTTTCTCCCATTTTTTTTATTTTATATATATATATATATATATAGGCCTAAGTAATTATTTGTTAAATTACATGTTCCACTTTTGTTTTTAGATGCTGAAGCAGGATTTGGCCCAGAGCAGGGATGAAACCAAGGAGACAGCAATGGACAAAATTCACCGGGAAAATGTGCGTCAAGGCAGGGACAAATACAAGACATTAAGAGAGATTCGCAAAGGCAATACTAAGAGACGGGTCGATCAGTTTGAAAACATGTAAATTAGAGACTTAAAAAATAACCTTAGTGATTATGCCTTAGCATCTCGAACTGCTAGGTACATAAATACTGCATCTGCCAGCAGATAACAGCAGTGGCTCAACAGTACAAGGTAGCTGAAACAAATTCTATATATACTATCAAGCCCTTCCAATCGAATTTCTTGACACCTCGTGATTTGTTGAACAAGGAGCTTGTGACTGTGAGAGTTAAGTGTTACTGAACAGTAATTTTATTCGAATTGAGACATTTCATTGTTGGTATTATTTACACACTTCTATTTATTTTGTGGTCTCTATCGAATGCTCTTGCTGTTTGATAACAATAATACATATTAATAAATAAACTCATTTTTCATCTTTCACTTTTAATTTTAAACATCAGTATTTTCCTGAGAAGTTATTGACTCTTCCTAATAGTAGTTATATTCTGTGTTTTCTTGATTATTTTAATATCATTATAGATAAGCATTATTACATTCCATAGTTTGTTGTTTATCTGTTGTTGGTAGTTAGTCCCTGTTTATCGCGCTTCCAGTGTTGTCATAGTTTATTATTTATAGCTCAATATTGAACTACCCATGTTGGCCTAATGGTGCGTTAACATGTCTTCTTTAAGTTTGTTGAACACATATCTTTCAGAATGGTGGCCTTTGCCCCTGTAAAGGGCTTAAATAAGTTAGGATTATTAACATTTGAAAAGTTATTTATTTCATTTTTTGAAGCAATTTATTTTCCTACAAGTGATTGCTGTGTGTTAAAAATTTAACAAATAAATTTTCTTATACAACTGAAACACAAATCTTTACTTTGCTATTTTACTTAATGAAGTTCCTTAAGTATCCTTTGGACTGTGTTGATTACAAATGGTAACTTAATTGGAAATGCAATAGTATCTCTAATGATAACATATATTTTCTAAGAAATTTTGAAATGTGAAATGTACATGTATTTTAGTACCTTTATACACAATCATTTTGGTATACATTTCATTAAAGTTTCATATACTCATCAGGTTTCACCATGGTCATTTAACTGTGGTAAAAAATCATATTCAAACTATACAGGATTAATTGTTAATGTATGTTATGTACTTATTTTACCTTTGTATAAAGCATAGCAATTTCGTATTTTGCTAAAGTCTATCTTAAAACTTATAAATTCTTATTATATTCATTTTATAGGTATTATAAGTTTATTTGTAGATAAATTTTGTTTCTTTATTAAGTAATTTTCTTTATCAATAGAGTTTTATGTTAACATTTTAAGTTATGTATAGTATTAAAAATAAATTAACAGGGGAGTTATTTTTATCATTATTAATCAATCATTCCTCACACTTAATCCTCTTTAAATAACAAAAGCAAACACCCATAAACAAATTCAAATAAAACACAGATTATAAATGTGTTAAACACTAATAGGAGCATACCTATAAAAAGTATTAAACAATAGGTACTGAGCTGACCCCTCGCACCGTCCCCAGACGAACAACTATTGGAAGCGTGTCCCCCATAGTGACAGTGCGAGTGGTCGCCCCACATCCCTAACTAAAAACTGAAGAAAGGCCGTGGGTGAATTACAAGACAAGACAAAAAGTGAACAAAGCCTTTAATTTTACCAGAAAAAACAACGAATAACAATCAACAATGCAACCATCCAAAGAATTGCCATAAAAAAATTTCTCTCTTTCTAAAAATTAACCCTTCTGGATTTACATAGTGGTAACTGTGACTAAAAGAAAAATTAGGGCTAACAAAATGAATAGGATGGTAACTGGTAAATTTGTTTTAAACTTTCAAAAGATTAACGAATAAATAAATAATAAATGACTAGAAATAAATACTGTAATGATGATAAATTATTTTGGGGCCCCATCAAAGTCTTTTAAAAAATTACCATAAACTTCAAAACAACTTGCGGTTCACTTGGCGACACAATACAGTAGTCCTTGTTGGTGGTAGGCGGTAGTGGTAGATGGCGGAGGGTGGCCTACTGGTCCCAGGAGCAGGGTGACAGGCAGCCCGAAGAGGGAGAAGGTGTAAGGTCTCCCCGGAAGCAGCATAATAAGGCCTCCCATCAGGGACCTCATCTGACGTCCTGGCACAAGCTAATTACATGTTACTGACGATTATGTTTGTTCGAAACACAGTAGAAAAAACTAAAGGATGGTAAAAGATAAAATTTGACATAACCTCAAACACAAATCTTGACAGTAACCTAAAACAGCCGCACGTCTTCTGGTTCACATCTGTCAAGCGGACAATGACTCTGGGTGCAGGTCTGCTGCCAGACCCAAACCGACTGAGTTCCGGCGCAAAGCCAGCACTTGCACTATAAAAAAACAGAGGCGTGACATTGGTGGGACGCTTGGTGGACATGTCACGGCTCAGAACAATTTTCCATTTTCCACTAGTGCAAGATCATAAATTTTCCAAAATAACAATAATGAATACAGTTAGGTAAAACTTAGAATATAGTACCGGTACTAAAAAAATGTGCGGTGTAATTAAATATAAAGGAGGACAAATCAAGGATTTTGATCCAAAAAAGGTTTATTTTATAAGAGAAAAAATAAGTACAGTACAGTACGTGTTTCTATAACGGGTGATTTGCGATAAATGAATGCATCAATGGAGATTTATATATGGCTATGTGATGGGAATACACAAAGATTATTAGAAACAAAGATATCTATCTACAGGGTGTCCCGGAACTCTACCAATATTTTAGGGCATTGTTCCTGGGTAGTTAAAATACCTAAATATCATATTTAAATTGTCTGGAAGTCCTTAGTTACTCACACAGCCGCCATTTTGTTTTTTTTAAGTTATTAATTTTTTTTCTAAGGAATGGTTAAACATACGAAATTGAAACTTTGCACAAACATTTATGACAACTAGACAAAGCTACCAAAAAATTATGACGATTTTTAAAATTCATAAAACAAAATGGCGGCCATTTTAAATTTTGTTTCTTAAATAACTCGAAAACCGTTGATTTTACAAAAATTTTACAACAATAACTTTTTAAGGCAATTTTATTACAAATCGATTGACACCTTAATTTTGAAGATTGGACAAGTATTAACTGAGATATGATAGTTTTAGTGATACGTGACCGCTTTTAGCATGCGCTGCAACTAACCTCCAGAGGTTACGTATCACTAAAACTACCATATCTCAGTTAATACTTGTCCAATCTTCAAAGTTAAGGTGTCAATCGATTTGTAATAAAATTGCCTTAAAAAAGTTATACTTGTAAAATTTTTGTAAAATCAACGGTTTTCGAGTTATTTAAGAAACAAAATTTAAAATGGCCGCCATTTTGTTTTATGAATTTTAAAAATCGTCATAATTTTTTGGTAGCTTTGTCTAGTTATAAATGTTTGTGCAAAGTTTCAATTTCGTATGTTTAACCATTCCTTAGAAAAAAATTAATAACTTAAAAAACAAAATGGTGGCTGTGTGAGTAACTAAGGACTTCCAGACAATTTAAATATGATATTTAGGTATTTTAACTACCCAGGAACAATGCCCTAAAATATTGGTAGAGAGTTCCGGGACACCCTGTATACAGGGTGATTGATATAAGTGTGACAGCCGTTTTATTCTAAAACTATAAGAGATATCAAAAAAAGTTAAATGGTAAGTGCCTTGGATTTTTAGCGAATTTCCCTATAGGGAAGTAGCTATTACCGTAGGTGGCATGGTAAGACCTAGGCCCGGGACCGATTTACTTTTTCATTTTGATGTCCCCAGAGGCCAAAAACACCATTCGTTCAAATTTTTATATATGTACTAGCTGACCCGGCGAACTTCGTATCGCCTAAGTTATAGGTTTCCCCTAAGACAGACCGATGGAAAGAAAGTACCGTTACGTTTAATTTTCAAGATGATCTCGTTCGCATCGCTCAATCACGTCCTGGTTGAAGTTCGTTCGCTACGCTCACTCACCTTTGGGTTGGAGCTTGTTCGCTACGCTCACTCACCTTTAGGTTGGAGTTCGTTCGCTGCGCTCACTTTTTTCAGTTAGCTCGTTCGCTACGCTCACTCGCCTCCAAGTTGGAGCTCGTTCGCTGCGCTCACTTGCCTTCAGGTTAGCTCGTCCGCTACGCTCACTCGCCTCCAGGTTGAAGTTCGTTCGCTACGCTCACTCACCTTTTGGTTGCAAATTAGCTGTTGTCATAAATGTAAAAGCAATAATAGTGCTGCACCCTGTTGGTAATCCTTGTAACTTTAATGATATTGAACATCATAGAACAGAACCAACTTGTTTAATTGAAACAGCTGTTAAGATTCATTAATTCCATTTCTCATAAGGTTAACATGGGAAACTCCAGAGCCACTGGGGCGGAGCCCTTTTAAGAATTTCGAAACGGGAAATAGTTTACGTCCGATTCGCATACCTACAGAATTTACACACCGAATTTCATAACGATCAGTGAAGTCGTTCCGGAGGAGTTTGCAGACAAACACTGTGACACGAGAATTTTATATATTAGATATATACTATATATCTAATATATAAAATTCTCGTGTCACAGTGTTTGTCTGCAAACTCCTCCGGAACGACTTCACCGATCGTTATGAAATTTGGTGTGTAAATTCTGTAGGTATGCGAATCGGACGTAAACATATATCTAATATATAAAATTCTCGTGTCACAGTGTTTGTCTGCAAACTCCTCCGGAACGACTTCACTGATCGTTATGAAATTCGGTGTGTAAATTCTGTAGGTATGCGAATCGGACGTAAACTATTTCCCGTTTCAAAATTCTTAAAAGGGCTCCGCCCCAGTGGCTCTGGAGTTTCCCATGTTAACCTTATGAGAAATGGAATTAATGAATCTTAACAGCTGTTTCAATTAAACAAGTTTTCGACAATGGTTTTTCGACTTTACTAAAATTTTTTAAATACAAAGTCCAAGGCACTTACCGTTTAACTTTTTTTGATATCTCTTATGGTTTTCGAATAAAACGGCTGGCACGCTTATATCATCACCCTGTATACAGTGTGTAAATTAAGTCTGGCACACATTCATCTTTTTTTCTATCGTAGATAGAAGAAATCAATTTGCGGGACTGATTAATAACAAATGTTTGGCACTTTTTCATAATTTTGAAAAAAATTCCCCTTAAGGGTAAGGGGGGGGTGGGGGGGTAACTAAACTTTTCAAATGACAACCCCCATCTTGTGACCCCTCATTTTAAAGGTATTTGGAAGACAAATTTAACGATGTGACTGATTTTTTTTTTTTTTGCATCCTGTCCAAGATGGCGGCTTTAAATGTGCTTGGGGTTAAACGGGTGGGGTCTGGAACACAATTTGATCTTTTTTGCCATTAATAGATAGAACTTATCCACTTGTGGGACTGAGCCAAAATTAGGCACTTTTTTATTTATTTGAAAAAATCCCCTCAGGGTAAGGGGGGAAAAAATCTCCTTTACGCAACTAAAAATTTTCAAATGACAACCCCCATCTTGTGACCCCTCATTTTAAATGTATTTGGGAGACCAATTTAACAATGTGTCTAAAAATGTTTTAGCACCCTGTCCAATATGGCGGCTTAAAATGTGCTTAGGGTTGAACAAGTAAATTAAGTCTGAAACACATTTTTATTTTTTTACCAAAAATAAAGTCATAATAGATTTGATAGTTTATATCAGAAAAACTTGGACAATAGGACGAACTGCAATAAACAAATTTATGTAGTACACTATTGCTGTAACTTGTGGTATATAACATGATGTGTTGTGGTATCTCTGAAATGGAAACAGTTCAGTTACTCGGTCCTTTATAGCTTCTGATCCCCTCTTTATGTAGGTCCAGAACATGTAGGTAATTGTCATTTAACTACATATTAATTTTTAAATGTTGGCCTCTGACCCAGCCATGGAGCGCTTCGACTGCCAGGTCTCATGGCTTAGTCTACTTCCTGGGATGTGCATTACACCAACCAGGTTGCGGCTCCCCGAGATCTCCAATGGCTTGGAGATCCCCCCTCACTTGGTTTGGTAGGTGGATCAACACCCAGAGGCAGGGGGCAGCTCTTGCAGCTAACAAGTGAGAGTTGATGTCCGAGTGTGGACCAGTCTACTGAACCCATCTTGTGCAAGATGTAATCAGAACAGCACAAAACGTAGTACCACTCCTCAAATACCCGTTTCCCCCCATCAATGTTAAGAATCTTTAAAAATCCCGTACTTACCGCCTGTCAAGGAAGGACTTAAATTGACCAAGATATAAGACCTGGTTAAATGTTTTTTTTTTTTACATTTTTGATTATTTTTGCAATGACA